AATAGCTAGGTGACCTATCTCTCTGCCATCTACGGAGAGTCTGAGAAAGGCACAGTTCCCATGCCCTACCCCTGGAGAACAAAACCCTGTAACTTTCCCTTCTGCATTTCCCAGGATAAAGATTACCTACCCATTGCTCTCAAGACCCTACACTCTGTTATCACAAAATCTCTGTGTCTGTCTTAGATCTCTTCTGTTATGCTGGGTTTGCCTCTACTTGTGGAAGGGTCAAAGTTCTAGTAGCATGTCTTGTTTCACATTTCTTCCTCTTCTTCCAGGTCCACCAGGCACTTGGAGATTAAAGGGTTAACTGGATGGAGGGGTGTTATCTCCAGCTTAGGGCATTCCCTCTGAAAGGTGATATGGTTCAGATCTTAAGTTACCTCATGCCCCAGCCAGCACATCTGCTGTTGGCTCTGCAGGCTTGCTCTCTATGGAGTGGGGTCTGCAGCTCAGGGGAATACTTGTCTGCTAGGCTTGGGTGAGGAGGCTAAGCCCCAGAGACTGCTGTTTCCCTATTCCTTGTCCCTCACTGCCACCTCCATTTCTAACAAGTGGGCTCTCTCCTTTGGTTGCCCAAGCCTAGGATTCCATCAGGTACTTTCATGTTGCTGACCTGGCCACCCACCTGACTCTGCAGGCTTCTTATGGGGACCAAAGCTCTCACTCATGATCTTTTAAAAGGGTCAGCGTGGTTGCTAACTCCACCAAATTCCTTTTCCTAAGTACCCATGCAGGAAGAAAAGGTGCCTAAGGAAGAACTGGAAACCTATGCCCCTTGGTCCCTTCTAGACATTTCAGGATCTTGAGAACCTATGGAGCAGACCAGGCCCATCACAGCTCCAGTCAAGGAGACAACAGAAGGCTGACAAGACAGGGAAGTCTTTCCAGGTGTTGTCAAGGTCTTGTGCTCCTCCTGCAAGGATTTAGTGGAAAGCCAAGGAAGGATGAGGAGCAAGAAAGCAGCACTAAGGCTTCCTACACCCCAGAGAACTGGGTCCCAGCAAGCTTTTCTTGGAGTGAGCTAGCTAAGAGCAAATTCTGGGTCTCTTCCCAAAGTCACCCATCAAGTCACTGACATAAACACAGGCATCTGTCAAGGCTCAAAACCACCCATGCAAACCATCTGAATGCCATAAAATATCAGTTATGTGTGAACATGTATTTGGTACTTACAACTCCAGTTCCATGGTGATTGCAAATATGAGTATACATACCCCCTAATTCTAGTTCTTTCAGATCTGTACAGTGAATTGTAGGTGACCAACACCATCACACAAAGCTCCATACACATGCTTATATACGCCCACTCTGGACCAAAGGCGAGTCTGTCAGAGTGTTAGCCCAAGTCCCACAGCTGGCTACTGTCCATTCTTACCTGGAGTGCTGGCTAATGTTCAAAGTTAAAAACAAAAAACAAAACAAAAGCCCAACAGGTGATGAAGTCACCTCTCTGCCCCTTCCTCATTTGGAAGGTTTTCAATTTGCCAAGTTAACCAGGAAAGATACAATCGGAAGAGTAGAAACTATAGTCACACCTCCCTTGGGAGTTTTCTATTTGTGCTGAACAATGAACATTAGTCAGCTGCTAAACAATGGCAGCATCATAGATGCAGCAATGGGAGCAGACCCTCTGGCCCTCCATCCCAGCCCACTGGCTCAGCTGTGGGCACAGCCATACTGACAGCCTACAACTGGGCCTACGGGCCAGGCAGTCCAGGCCACTGCCCAGGTGGACTCATTGTGCAGAGCCAAGTGGCTGAGGAAGGAACTGGCAGCCTACAACTACTCCCAGCTTGTTTTAGGGAACCACTGGCTACATGTCCCACATTTGTACTAGTACAGGTTCAGAAACCTTCTAGGCCACTGGGCCAGACCTGCTGGGCCCAAGCTCTGCAGTGTCTAGCCTTCCCTCCAGCCTCCAGGATTAGGCCTTGATTCTGACTCAGATGCTCTCCACAACACTGCCTGACTAATAGGCTTGGAGACTGCTATGTTTTACACTGCAAGCTCAGGCCAGGAGAATGGATTCGCTATAATGCCCAGCCCAGTAAATCCAAGCCCACCATAGTCTTTGAGAAACAGGCAAGAGGAAATACACCCAACACCTTAGCTTTGGGGGCTTCAAAGGAAGGTACCAGGAACAGGCACTGTACACAGACGGCCTAAAGGGAATGAATGCTGTGGCCTGACAGGTCTTTGCATGGCGAGCATGATACCTAGGGTGTGGGTTTTCTTTCTAGACCAAAGGTGTGGGGAAGCTAATTAGAGAGGGTGTGGTATAGGTGGCACTTCCCAGGCAAATTCTCCACCCCTTCCTCTCCTGGTTTCCAACCCTCTGTAGATAACACGGACCCACTCCTCTAAGTGAGCACCCTAGAAGGAGCCTGTCATCTCGGGAAACAAAGAAGAAGCTCCTAGGCCCTTTCCTGTCCTACCTGTACTGTCTACCATATAGAAACATACTTCTCTGTGTACACTTCAAGAGCCAGGTAGGCTGTGTTGTGACATCAGGAGTCACCATGCGCGCGTGCGTGTGTGTGCGTGCACACACACATACACACACACACACACACACACACACGCACACACACACGCACACTGGGGGACTCCTTCCTCTCCACTTCCACAGTGCTCCCTGTCACAGCCCAGCAGAACCCAGGAAAGAGCAGCAGACTGGCAAGTCTCCAGGGAAAGGCAGGAGCAGACAAGCTGAGGGAGAGAGAGGGGTGCACAGTAGGGATGGGTTGCACAGTAGGGATGGGTTGCACAGTAGGGATGGGTTGCCAAATGGGGCCTCCTAGCTTTCTCAGTCCGAGGAGCAGACTGAGTGTAGCTGTACCCACAGCTTTCTGTCACAGTGGACCTCAGAAGGCAGACAGAGCAGCAGGCACACAGAAGCAGGCTCCATCTAGGAGCTAGGTGAGTCCAGGAACTTCGGTTGCCTCAGCTGCACTCATCCATTGGTCACAATCAGTGACAGAACACTTATTAAATACCTCCATTCTGGGCATCCTAGCTTGGAGTTGGATTTTTGGTGGGGGAGCTTCTGCTTTGAGCCAGGTATCACTTCCCTGTCTTCCTGTTGTGTTGGCACAGCCTCTACCCCCCCCCCCCCCAAGGATGGAATCAAATGTGATTCAACCAAAACAAAACAAAACAAAAAACCCAAAACAAAACAAAGAAAAACCGGGATGTAAAGCAACAAATAGAAAGGGGTAAGCTTCCTTCCTGAAACCCTTTGGTCCTTTGTCCATCCTGGGATTAGGTTAACCCCTAATGTGCTAGGAATCCTACAGGCTCTTGGTGAGTTCTCCTTGCTCTGGGTTCTGGGAAAGGTTAGGGATTTAAAAGGTTCTCTGAAGCCCAACCTATACTGACCAGGTAAATTCTAGACACTGAGTTTCTGCACGTACTGCACTTGCAGACACCATCAGTGAGAAAGTGGATGAAGACCTCTCATTCCCACCCAGACCAGTATGGTGGAGGGTTCAGCATTCTCCTGTGGACAGTGACATGGAATGTCCCCTCCTGGGACACAAGAGGGCCACACTCCACACTGGCCCATGTCCCTGCTTTCCCAAATTGCTTTCCTGGCATCCACCACTGATGGAGAGGTGCAGTGCCCCAGCAGCGAGCAGGCTGGCAGGAGAAGGAGGCAGTAAAGGAAGTAAATGAGGCCAGACTCTTGTCTTCCAGGAGTGCATCCAAGCCACACCTGGACAGTCAGCCCAGCCTCTTCCTAACAAACTGCCCGGCTAGCCTGCAGAACTACAGTGGCTGGGAATCCAATATTCTTAATCCAGCACTTTATTCTGCCACCCCGAGTTGACGTCCACCAGCTACAGTCAAGCTTCCCCTAGCTCCCCCCGCCCCAAGATCCCTCCTCCTAGGACTAGAGCTCATCTCAGGTTTGTTTCAGGGGCAGGGTGGCTAGACAGATACTTCCCCCACCTTGACCCAAATTAGTGTCTTACTGGCAGCCCCATTGCTTCCCCAGGGACACAAGGGGTTAAATCCAGGCGAGGGGACTCAGTAGGATTTGCCTCCTAAACGCATTTTCCAGTTCATTCCCCAACACAATATGCCTGGGCTGGTCCCAACCTCCGCCCCCACCCCATCCGTCAGGATGGGCCACCACGGGCCACCCCAGGGTCGGGCACGGAGTTAACCCCTCTTCTGCCGGCAGCTCACACCTCGAGGAAAGACTTGCGGGACACTCTCGGGGCCTCTCGGGAAAGTGGGTCATGCGGCCACCTGGCTGGCATGAAGCCCATGGTGCTTCCTCCTGGGGGAGCCCTCAGCTTTAGAAGTGGAGTTCCAAGGCTGAGCCCAGTCCCGCACAAGGCCGGGAGTTTGCGATCCCCAGGCGGCCCGGCCTCACCTTCCAGAAAAGGAACTGCAGGTGAGCAAGAAGCCGCCTGTACCGCAGAAGCGGCTCCTAGCGCCCGCTGAGGGGCGATGTGGGGCAAGAGGGGGTCCCCCCGCGAGCCCGAAACCATCTGACAAGAGGCTGCCAAAAGAAACGAAGCCCCCTGCAACCCTCCAAACCCACAGCCCACCAGCTCGGAGACTGACGCCCTCCCCCTGGGGCTGTTGTCTCATACCCCGAGCTGGTGATTACGGTGATTATTTTGCATTTATGTAACACTCACTGTTTCCAAACTGCTTCTCGAGCTGAGAACTGGTTATTAAATAAATAGAACCCTATTACATATTATTATTTTTGTGAAGAACTGAGCGGAGAAAGTGCTTTCTTGCTACGTAGAGACGTGCATCCGATTGCTTCCCTGCAGGGCAGGCTGTTCGGCTCCTCAACCCCTTTCTCCACGGTTGCCACCTCCTGCGCCCCCCTCCCCATCCAAGCGTGACCCAACTTTTCTGGCTCCGTTCATTCTCTACAACCCAGTAGTGCCCGTCACCCAGTTCCCAGTCCCGGGGAGACTCTGGTTGGTTGGGTGGGGAGTATGGGGGGGTGGAGGCAAAAGCTATAGCCTTACCTGGGAAGAAGAAGGCAGCCAAACCGAGAGCGAGTCCCCACCAGCGTCCAGCGGCGCCCGCAAGCCCCGTCCGAGCCATCGGAGGGCGGGGGTCCGGCGAAAGGGGCGGCCAGGAGGGTGCTCCTCGCGCTCCAGAAACCAGCCTGGAAGACGAGGGCGGATCGCTGGCGGCCGGCTGGCGCTCGGAGGATCCAGGTCAGCCGCAGCCGTCGGCCGGGGCGGGATGGGCTGGGTGGGATCCGCGCGGCCGCAATCCGGGCCCGGGCTGCTGCCGGCTCACAGCCTCGGCAGATGCCCGCCGCAAGTTGCACGAGTCATGCCCCCTTCGCCTCCTCCGCTCTCCTCCTTGCCCCGGTCCCCGCCCTCTTCTTCCACGCAGAGCCGGGCTGGGGAGACGGACCCACCCCCGGCGCGCCCGGCTGCCCAGCTAGCGCGGCGCAGGCTCCCGGCCCTGGGCGCGCTCACACCCTCCCGCTCGGCTCCAACTTGCAGGCGTCCATGGCCGGCCGTTCTCCGAGGGTGGCCGGGCGGTGCAGAGGGCTCGGGGCCCAGGCGGTGGTGTGCAGCTTCGGCGGCCAGCTGCCCTCGAGGCTCCGGGCTGAGCGGTCTTGGAGGAGCAAGGGGAGCGAGCCGGGTGCGCCACGGGTCCCCACCGCTGCCGCTGCGCCTGGTGCGGGCGATCCGCAACAATGTGGAGCTGCCTGGGAGCCGAGGCGAGCCGCGCTTGCTGCTCTCCCTCTCTTTCTCTCACTCGCCGATCCAGCCTCTCACCCGCTCTCCCGTGATGTCAGCCCGGGGGGAGGGGTTAGCGTTAACCCCCTCCTGGCTCCCACGCGCCCGGCCCAACCCTGGCCCGGCCTCCGCCCGCGCGCCTACACCTCCCAACCCCAGGCAGCTGCGGCTGCGAACGTGGTCGTGGGGTCCCGCTCAGGCCCCTTCTCTAGCGAGATGCCTCTTGAGTCCCCTTTCGGGCGTGGAGAGGGCCGGAGGGCTGGCTGCCCTCCCCGGTCGCTGACAAAGGGAGGCAGTGACCCCTAGCGGCCGGCAAGGGGGAGAAGCTTCTCGGTAGGGGTGGAGTTAAGATGGGGAGGGGGCGGCCATGGGGAGTCGTGTGTAAGCTGGAACTGGCTTTGTCCGAGCTCCGAGGGCTTTTCCAGCCCTCTTCTCCAACCCTGGGCCCATTTCGTAGGCGAGGAAATAAAGGCCCAGAGGAGGGCATAGAGAGTGCTCCCGGGCAGAAAGAAGCCGAGAACAGTCTAGAACTCAGCTGTCAAAGCTTCTGCTCCCCAAGATGTGGGCTCAGGACAGAAGCAACTTAGCAGAAGACAAACCGTGAAAGCTGTGGAGAAGCAGAGGGAAGGAAGGCATTAGTGGATGAGATCAGGGCACTCAGGTTTCTAGTGAGACTTCGTTTATAATTCTCATTCCTTCAGGGGGATCCTTGACCCGACATTGAAACATTCTCCTTTTCCCAAATGGCAAGAAACCAAGTCTGCTTACATTGCCCGCACCTCGTTTCTGAGCGGTTTGCGGGATTCCCGCGAAAGTGGCCCATCCAGTCGGTGTCCCAGAATTACCAGGACTCTCCGCCCCATCCTGTTCGCCACCCACCACATCCGGGTGGCTCCTTGCCAAGGTGACTGAGTCGGAGGGGCCCTTAGCATTCTGAAGCCTGGACCTTCTGTTCCCCATCCTTGGCCTGGGAGAGGCAGACAGACAGGGTTTCCCAGTCAAGAGAGCTGAGCACTCCCAGGAGGCCTGACCAGACAACGTCCCCTTTGCCCAGCCCCAAGGGCACAGAGGCATAGGGTAGCAGCCACATTCTGATAAAATGTAAATTTCCCTTTCTGAGAGAGTGGGAGGGGCAGGAAGGTGGAAGAGGGAGTCACTTTCCCACTACTGGGCTCTTGGCCTCGGGTCTCCTAAAGAGAACAGGAGTACTGACTCTCTGTAGCCTTTTATGTTTCTCATGTGTAACTCAGGACCAGAATTATACCCCACTAACAGCCAGACCTGGGGGTGCATTGCATGGTCTCATAGTTGGTCCTTGCCCAAAAGGAGGTGAGTCTAGTTGGGGAGAGAAAGAAACAGAAGTTCTGAAGACTCATTCACCACTGTGCAGTAGGTTTTCAGAATGACCAGGAAAACATCTCAGCCTGGGCTGGGCTGAAGCCTTCTGTGGGAGCAGAGCTCCTGGGCTGTCTGAAAGTCTCAATCAGACACAGTCCCTCAAGCAACTGAATTCAAGGTAGGAGTCAGCACAAGGAAAGCCAGGAAGGTGAGCTAGAGAATTGGGGGGGGGGGGCTCATAAATAATTGGTCCTAATCCAGCCTCAACTTGAGGTAAGGTCAAGTCTGTGAATCAGGATTATGCCAGGTAGTGGCCACAGGAGGGTCTTACGCTGGGGAAATGTCCTATTAAATTTAGCAAGTGGTGGCCAGGCTCCCAGCCAGGAATCTCCCATCTGGCTGGCAAGTGCTTTTAAGTTTGCCAAAGCCAAAATGAATTTCTTGCTTGTGCCTGACACATCATAGGAGCTGAATGATTGTGTTCAAGGGGGGGCAATTCCAGGTACACCAAGTTCTGTCAATTTTCCTACCTTCTCCATGCTTGCAGTACATTGTTGTTCTTAAACTGCACCCAAAGCCGGGATGGCAGCACAACCTTTAATCATAGCACATGGGAGGCAGAGGCAGGAGGGTCTCTAAATTCGAGGCCAGCCTGCTCTACAAAATGAGTTCCAGAACATCCAGGGCTACACAGAGAAACCCTGTCTTGAAAAACAAACAAAAAGCAAAACAAAATAAGGCATATAAAAAGGTGTGTGTCTTCAGGAGGAACATGACTTCCTGAGAGTGGAGAACTTGCAGGTTAAGTGACCAAGGCAGTATACTACCTTCTGCTGTAAATATTCCGAAAGGCCGCTTGAAGAGGCAGCAGGTAACTGCTGCCCTTAAGGATTGATCAGATTTGAACTTAAAAAACAGAAGAGAGAATTTCAGGAAGATAGTACTATTGTGCAAAAGTGTGGAGATGTCTGAAGGGTTCTGCCTTTGTGAGAACAGCAAGTGGTCTGGTTTGTTTTGCAGTCTGAGGGAGTATGAGAGAGGGGCAGGTATGTGCAACAGGATTGCAAATGATCAGAAAGATTTCCTTTGCTGATAGGAAGCAAAATAAGACCAGGCTTCTGGAAGGGACTGGGTGTGGTCCCAACTCCTTTGTTTGTTTGTTTGTTTGTTTGTTTGTTTGTTTGTTTGAGATAGGGTTTCTGTGTGTGCCCCTGGCTGTCCTGGAACTCTGTAGACCAGGCTGGCCGAGATCTGTGTGCCTTTGCCTTCCAGTGCTGGGATTAAAGGCATGCACCACCGCTGCCCATGCCTTTAGTTCTGCTCTCATCAGCCTTATCCCTGTGCCCATGATTTCTGCCTTGTCCTCACAATACCCACTGGCATAGACATGGTAGAACCATCAGGTTTTGCTTTCAAGCTGAAATGTGACAATTAAGTGGAAAGAAGGACTCCTGGGCTCCTAGCTTAAGAGTTGGGACCATAAGGTAGAAGGTGATGGCACACCCTTCCTTTTTTTTTTTTTTTTTTCCCCCAAGACAGTGTTTTCTCTATGTTGCCCTGACCTAGAATTCACTATGTAGACCTGGCTGACTACATCCAGTTTAAGAGGTGAATTACGGGTTTTTGTTTTTGTTTTGTTTTGTTTTTTGTTTTTTGTTTTTTGAGACAGGGTTTCTCTATCCTGGAACTTGCTTTATAGACCAGGCTGGCCTCGAACTCCCAGATATCCACCTGCCTCCACCTCCCAAGTACTAGTATTATAGCTGTGAATCACCATGGCCAGCTTTGGACTCAAATTATTTTTAAATGCTTATTTTATTATTTTTAACTATGTATGTGCATGTGAGTACAGTGCCTGAAGTGGCCAGTGGCATCGGAGCTCTTGGAGGGGGTGTTGGCAACCTATTTTGTCTTCTGGGAGGGCAATATTCACTTTTAACCGCTGAACCATCTCTTCAGCCCTGGATTCAAATTCTTAAATGTCAGCTCTGGCCCTCAGTAACTGTGTCTTTAGACAATAGCCCTCAGTAACTATGTATCTTTAGATAAATCCAAACTTGCAGAAGCTGTCCCATCAACCTGTAATTCTCTCTTTTGCCTCCCTTTGTTCAAATCTGATCTATCCTTTAGGTCTGCAATCTTGCCAGCTTAACTTCCATGTGCTCAGCTTCCTTGTCTGTAAAATAGGAATAGATAACTTAGGTTTTAGGATTGTCGGGGGTTAAACATGGTATACACTTGGAACAATGCCTGGTATACAGAGAAAACTGTTTTAATGTTGGTCTTCATCATTCCTGTGATCTGTGTTTCCACATACAAGTTTGTTCTTCTCTGCCAGAGGGATATATGCTATATACAAAGCATGATACAGACATTGATTCCCATTGTGTGCATTTGAAGTCTATTTTATTTTGAGATAGGTTTGGATTTACAAAAGAGGTGTAAAAGGCTGAAGAAATGGCTCTGTGGGTAAGAGTATTTGCTGCTTCTCCAGAAGACCTGAGTTCAATTCCCAGAACCCACTTCAAGTGGTTTGTAATCACCTGTAATTCCAACACCAAGAGACATGGCACAATTTTCTGTGTTTATACATGGGCGTACACATGTGCGTGCACACAAGCATGATTTTTTTAAAAAAAATCTTTAAAACCAAAAAAGATAGTATAGTTTTCATTTGACTAAATGTTAATGACATATATGAACCATGTAGCAAAATTAAGAAATTGGCATTACTATGTCTCTACTAAATGAACTAAAGAATTTATTTGGATTGTCCCCAAGTTCCTCACTAACATCTATATTCTCTTTATTTTCTCTTCTAGGATCCAAATCAGGACACCACATGGCATGTAATGCAAGTGGCCTTCTAATGCGAATAACCAGCTCCAAGCACAGACTCTGAGGCATTGCTAAGGTCATTGTTAGGGCCTCAGCAATGCCTGTTGGATGCTTCCTGCTTTAGAAGCCTCATATCCCTCTGCTCTAGAGCTTAGCATAGGAGAGACTACACTTTGCTGGGGCTCATCAAATGTACTTCCTCTGTAAACCCCATCCCCCCTTTTGGGTCTGCTACCTTTCCTTTTGGCCTCAGTTCACTTGTGTCAAATCCTCATGGTAGACCAGGCTTGTCTCCTGTATCTTCCCATAGT